TCCAGCCTCTTGATGTTGGATACTTTAGTCCCTTGAAGATTGCTTATGGTAAGCATATTGAAGGGCTTATGCGGGCGCGTGTCACCCATATCACTAAAGAAGATTTCTTTCCTGCATTTTACACCGCATACCAAGCCACCATGACAGAAAAAAATATCAAAGGTGGCTTTCAAGGGGCTGGCCTTATCCGTTTTGACCCTGAAAGGGTAATATCTAAGCTTGATGTCCAATTTAAAATGCCAACACCGTCGAATTCGCGGCCGACTAGTTCCCATAGCTGGGTTTCTAAAACACCAAATAACCCAATTGAGGCGTCATCCCAGACAAACCTTATCAAAAACCGAATCTCTCGTCACCAAGATAGCTCTCCATCATCAATTCTGAATGCTGTTGACATCCTCGCGAAAGGCACAACGAAGATAATGCATAAGATGGATTTGATGGAAGCAGAGATTCATGAACTTCAGGCGGCAAATGAGGCCCTTAGCAAACGCCGGAGGGCTAAAAAAACACGTCTAAGGAAAGGAGGGTCACTTTCTATACAGGAAGCTCAAGAATTAGGGGATCAAATGGAGGTTGAGGTACAACTGAAGGCGGAAACATGCAATGGGGCTGGTCAGCAACTGCAGACCAAGACACGCGCACAGCGCTGTGGCAATTGCAGAAAAGCTGGACACAATGCACGTTCCTGTCAGATAGTAGTAGAGATGTCTGAGGAAGGCGATTCTGGGTAATTTTAATGGAATTTATGTGCGTTGGTGGAAATATTGGGGTTAAAGTCGCGGCGGAGCGATTTCGTGTGACATTCGCCCGTGTGTGACATTCGCATGTGGGTCACGCTATATACTCTGGAGTATAGTGTTCATGCTGGACATCTGCTCAGGTTCCCAATGCTTCCAAGTTGCTATTACTTATGGGCCGATATGAGGGTCTATGTCAGGGTGCAGGGTCAGGTACAGATATATTAGGAATTGACGAACAGGTTAAGCTACAGGTCAGGCTATCTACAGGTACATAGACAAGACGCAGCTCGAAGAGCTGCGAGAGGATCAGCACCAGGCACAGATAGATATTGATGAGATCTGATAGGTCGGATCAAAGGGATAACGTTAGTCCGACTAGCGAACCTCCGATATATGGCCAGCGTTCGCCACATATAGATAGACAAGCACTCATCAAGCACTCAAGCACTCGTGTACTCTAGGCTACATTAGATAGAGTATATCAATCGTTCGTTTCAATTGGGTCTTCTACATATAGGCATCGTGCAGTCGGATGATCGACTCCTCCGGTTTCCCCTGAACCTCCGACGGAACCCATTTCAGTTTGCTTTGTTGCTTTGTTGATAAATACGGCGCTACCTCCTCTCTTCCTTCCTCATGTTGATTATTCTCGTCGATAGCTACCTAGGTAGAACCCATGAGTTGGATGTTTCATAATCCTAGTAGAGCAGCGCCGTGACAAATAATATTTGACTTTTCCGAGAGTGGGACCATTGACAGATTGACAGGACTTCCTCAGACACTCATATCCACCGCAGTCACAAACAAAGCTCGAGATTCAGGCTTCCATCAAAAGCAAAAGTATGGGCTTCACGAGCAAGTGTTAGGAACATTGTTGCTGTTATAAGCCCTGTTGCTCCTGGAGCCCATACTGCCGCTGGAGCCACCCTCCCACACCAAAGGCCCAGGCAGAGAATAAGACGTGGGGTGCATGTAAATATTGTAGTGGATATTCTCATCATCAGGCTGGTAGACACCGGGAATCTTAACAGTGGGCGAGGGGTCTCCAGAGCCATTGCCGCCGACTTCGATCTGGGCGCAGGTGAAGTAGAACTCGGCGTTGCCCGAGAAGCCTCGGTGGAGGGCAATGTGCTCCACACGGACAAGGTACTGGCCCGCAGGGAGGTCGGACGGAATCTTAAAAGACGCTTGGTTCTTGTCCCAGGTGCACCAGTCTTTGTCTTCGAGACCCTTTTGCGAGATGTCGTTGCACAGTCCTTCCTGGTAGACCTTGAACCAGTCGCCTGAACCGTCGTATTGCGTGACATCACCGGGGGCCTTGGACATGTATATTTGCAGTGGTCCTGGGTGCTTCATGGTGGCGCCTGGAAGACATGTCAATCTGGCATTTTCCAAAGCGTCCAGGGAATAGAAATGGAGACCCAGAGATAAATGAAAGCTCAATTAAACATACCATAGGCCAACTCGAAGCCAATCTCAGCGCCGGGTTCAGCCTTGTAGACCTTGGTGCCGGCGGCAGATGACATGGAGCCCTGGTTGCAACGGAAATCATCGTTGAGAATATCGGAAGCAGGGGTGGGCTGGTAGCCATTGCTATTCCGACGGATATACTCGAAGTCATTGGTCTTCTCCCCATTCACGATGAGCTTTGAGAAGACGTAGTGGCCCGAAACACCGGGGAGACCTGCACCGGCCAGCATCACAGAAATACCAAAAGTCGTGGAAAGCTTCATTTTACCTGGACTAGGTGTTTTTCGGGTCGAACAGAAAAGAACAACTGAAGTCAAAGTACGATAAACGGAGGCAGAAATGTTAATGCCAGGAAAGAGCCTGTTGTTTGATTGGAAGCATCTGAGCTGTGAGGGAAATGGAGGCCCCTCTTATAGATCTTCCGGGCATGCCTTCACTGATCTTCTTTGCCATCGGCCCTCCTGGCGTGAAATTAATCAGGGACACAACAAAACTAAACATGAACAGACGATTGGTCTGCCACTCGAACTAGATTAATTTAACTCCACTTATAGAAGTATGGCTGACCTAGGCCGATCGACGGATCTAGATAAAGCATCTTTCGCATCAGTATGACACTGGGCTCGAATTGCTGTACCTTTGTAATTCTCTACGTCAACTGACCGGGTGTCCCGATTAGGTAGAGTGACAAGGCAGTCGGCGCATCATCAATTGCCGAGAAGATATATAATAATGAACCAGCCCTGTACTTGATACCACTAGTAGTAGTTAGCCACTAATATTACGTGACCTGACCTTAGTGCCTTAACGTATTCCACGGCCGAGGTGCGAATACGACCGAGCTGCGAATTTGTATTCCCATACAAATCCATACTTCCTTAACAAAATATATCTCAATCATGCTATGTTTCCTTCACTAAATATCCAAGGTAGTATATTCCTAGGCTACACATAGTAAATATATGAAGTTTTAAGTAGATAGGGCTATTAGTTATCCAAGTATTATAAATTACACTGTATTTCAAGCCTGGCATATGTTTTCAAGATAGACATATTTCTATATAAAAAAAAACTGATAATATCTATATATACTCATATATATTCTAGTAGCCTAATATGACGTTTAACGATACTGAACTGGCCGTGATATCTTATGTTAAAGAAGTGCCATTTTGTGTAGGAATACAAATTCGCACCGCGGCTGTGGAATACGTTAGTTACAGTGATACTCAGGGTCCCACTTACCCGCTTTCAAAGCCGAGCCTTAACGCGGACCAATAAATACTAGACGCCAAGCCATCATCCCAGTTTAGATCGCGGCCCTGTGTTCAGGCCAAAACAGGGTCCTCATCCTGACAGGATTCGATGAGTTAGCTATTATACTAGTATCTGGTGTTAGGCGATTGATCATCCGTCGACCGAGGCTGTTCTATACAGGAATCTTCGGTCATTAACCGATGTATCTTGGCAATTCTAGCAAACCGGGTGCGGGTGTCACGCTACTGTCTCGTGGAAGAATTAGGTGACCCAAAGCGGATAGAATCAGACAATCTGCGGCGGGAGAGGCCAGCTTCGCGACCATATTTGGACATGATAGTCCTCCGTCAACCTTCCTTATCCTGGTTGTGGCCTTCAAAGTCTATTTAAGAAGAGTAGGTGTTCCCTGAACTACTTACCCAACCCTCATACCAGACCTAACTCTCAACATCGAACGGTTATCCATTCATTGGTTCTCCGGAATCGGTCCACCAACATCATGAAACTCTTGGCTGCAACACGAGCTCTGATTTTTGCCGGTGTTGCTGCAAGGCAAGGCCTTGCTGCCGCCACTCAGGGGCTCTCTGAGGACGTCTATAGTCGCTTAGTCGAGATGGCCACCATCTCCCAGGCTGCCTATGCTGACCTATGCAACATCCCAACGACAATCAACACGGTGGGAAAGATCTACAATGCTGACACGGATATCAACGGATGGGTCCTTCGAGACGATAGTCGCCAGGAAATCGTCACTCTTTTCCGGGGCACAGGCAGTGACAAGAACATGCAACTCGACACCAATTATACGCAGGCTCCTTTTGACAGCCTTCCTCAATGCAGCAGCTGTGCCGTGCATGGCGGGTACTATCTTGGCTGGATATCCATCAAAGATCAGGTCGAGTCCTTGGTCCAACAGCAGGCCAGCCAGTATCCTCAGTATGGATTGACAGTCACGGGTCATAGGTATGCATATTCCATGCTCCGATTAGAGTGACAATGGACCGATTTCTCTCTCATCTTCTGCTTTCTTCCCATCAGGTCAGTTAGCTGACACGTAGTTAAACTAGTCTGGGCGCGTCCATGGCCGCAATCACTGCAGCCCAGCTCTCTGCCGCATACGACAACGTCAGTCTGTATACATTTGGCGAGCCACGAACTGGTAACCAGGCCTATGCGTTGTACGTTAACGAGGCTTTCAAAGCCCAGAGCCCTGATACAACTACGTACTACCGCGTTACCCACGCCGACGATGGTATCCCGAACCTTCCTCCTACTTCGCAAGGTTATGTCAGTTCTGGCATAGAATATTGGACTGTAGAGCCCCACAGCGCCCAGAACACATATGTCTGCACCGGGGGAGAGGTCCAATGTTGCGAAGTCCAAGGTGGACAGGGAGTTAACGATGCGCATGTTAATTATTTCGGGATGGCTAGCGGAGCCTGTTCCTGGTAGTCATGGATCTGTTGGACTTTCGTCTTGGTGGTACAATCAGGACAGTGACGGATTTTCAAATGGGACAGTCAGAGGATCCCGCGCCCTTGTGCTCTAGATAGGACGACAAAGACACTCAAGTTTTGCGGTTTTGGAGGCACTATTTTACTATACAAGACATGACTATAGTAATTACCGACAAGCACTCAATCAGCTGTGTACGCGCATGTACGTTCGTTAGACAATATACATCTTTCGTCAAGTTAGTCCTCTCCATAGGCCTCGAAATGGTGCGGTCCCGGTCCTATAGTCGGCGACCAAGGACCGGACCGGACCATGGTCCCTTGCGGTCCCTTGCGGTCTTGACCGCGGGGGACCGCAATTGCATAAAATTGCCAAGACTTTCCTTTTTCGGCTGGATAATTTGCTGGTTCATCTGATTTTTTTACCATTATTAAATACTGTCTTGGTTTGTATATCAAAATCTCCTGTAATCATAGAGATAAATAGTAGTAAATTGTCACTCAGGGCGGGGTGGGGCGGGTTTTGGCCCAAAACCTCGAGACTCTCAAAACTAAACCCAATCAGTCGATCGGATATCGCACTATTCCAACAATGGTTAGTTTGGGGCAGCTAACAGGGCGGGTCTCCCAGCCCACCCCGAATTCTTAGTATTTTTTGTATTCAGAACATGATTACTCGATAGTAGACCTCGTAAGGAGTCGCGATTCGTCAGGTTCGATTCGACTCGGAACCGCCAAGATTCAGGTTCAGGTTCCAGGATTTTGGAGTCGCGATCCGACTCCAGGATTTTTGGAATCGAACCTGCCAGGTTCGACTCGAACCTCAGGTTCCACAAACAGTGCAAACATAGGAAATCCCATGATATGCATATTTTATGCAGATTCTGTCTGTATTTTTGCGTAATTGGTTTACAGTTCAGGCAGAGAGGTCAAAGTAAACAATTCCAGTAGAGAATCAGATGAGAGCTTTCAGGTTTTAATTCTACTTTTCTTAAGGCTTATGATACACAAACTGATCTTCATCTCGCCTCAGACGCTTTGGAACCCGTCCTGATGTTCGCCTCCGAGTATTATTATCGCCATGCAGGTTGCTGTTGTCAGGCAGAGGGGTTTCATCCTCATCATTCTCATTATCTAGTTCAGTCAATGTCTCCTGGTCCTCTCTGGCATCAGCCCTGGCCCTTTTACTGGGCACACGCTCAGTGGGCGGCCATAGAAGTGGAAATATAGTTACTGGGGTATCTTCCTCATCATCACTAATAAGATCAGCAGAATCAATACTAGACTGTTGGACTTTAGCTTCCTCCTGTAGTGCAGCAATCCCATCTGTTTTTGCATAATCTTGTATAAATGCCAGCTCCTTCTCTTCAATATCGAACTTTGTAGCACACATGAATAATATCAGATCTTTGATTGTTGTTGCTTTTAAAGATCCTCGCCGGTAGTGGCAAATATCACGAGTAGAATTGAATAATTGTTCAACACCTGCACCACTTGCTGGGACTGAAAAGATATCCCGGGCAAGAGCTGCTAGAGTTGGGTACTCAGCCTCATGATGCTTCCAGAACTGCCGAGGGCAGGTTCCATTAGGTAGTGTTGCTAAAGAAAATTAGATCAAGATCAGATAAATAGGATTCAATTCAAGACCTACCACTATCACAGTACCGATCAACTTCACCTTGGACAGTAGGTGCTGGCATCTCTGTTTGGTTTTCAGAAAGTAGTTGTCACAACCTGGCTTCTCTCGTATTGTACCTAGGGTTCTAGTTAGTTGTATTTCGAGACAGGACACTTACCCTAAGTGTCTTTCAAGCACTCATATGCTCAATGACCATCCAGGTCCTCCGTATATCACGTCGAAGGTATATCGCCCCCTCCAGGCTCCGTAAGATAATCAACAAGTAGAAACGGTAAAGGTAACGAATAGAGAAACAAGGTCAACCAAGCACGTATGCTGGGTTGTTGGTTAAGTGCGGACGAGTCAGAAACTAGAAGGTAACCAATGCTTTGATTAACTAGATTGATTGCGAAGAACTAACTAGGTGCATGAATGAGTGTCCTTATATATCCTCCGCTTGTATACCATATGGACTACCATTCTGATGGTAGTGACTATGGTAGTTGTATACCATCTACCAATGCCAAGCCATGGTATATGGTAGTTGATCACGTGATGCGCCTGTTAA